CTTCATAGGGGTTGCAGTGACTTTGAACCACAATCTTAAAAACTCCTACACATAAATTATATTACATGAACATCAAAAAATGCTTCCTACATGTAATTAATCCATATAGAGCAAAGGTTTCACGAATAGACTTTAGATGATACATTCACAAAAGCTTGAATCGATTATAAGAGCGTGAAGAGGACCAGAGAAATCAAGCAACGATAATGTAGCATGAAGCACCTTATCAACATTCTCAGGCTCAAGACCATTTTGAAAGCGTTCCATGTAAGAGTTGGCAATCCAGTATCTACTCGAGTCAGGAGTATGCACCTAGATATGCAATGAAACTACTTTATCAGGCATTGATAAGCTAACGTGTGAGTGCATGATAACATTGGATGTGTTTCAAGGAAAAAAATTAAACCTCATCAATCAAAAGAATTGAACCATCATTTGCCTTCCCAAATTCATACTAGTGTCCACCAATATGAGGCCATGTTCCAAAGCTACATGCTGCAAAGTAAAGCAAATGAAGTAAACAGGAATGAAAAACGGGCAGAAAGATATTGATGTGTGTGTGTGTGGGGGGGAGGGGAGAGAGAGAGCAAACACGTTGAAGTTTCAATGGATTGATGCACTCACATACTTATGCGAGCATATGATCAAGCTGTCGTCACTTTGTCAGTGATAATATATAAAAATTTGTCTCTTTATGATATGAAAAGTGGAATTTACGCAGGCAGAAGATATCAGTGGAAATAAATGGAGATGCATAATTACCTGACCATACTCAAACAAACTTAACGCTTTCCTGCTTACTTCTTCGTAGTCAGCTTGGGTCATGAGTCCACCTTAACAATCTGCCAGGGAAATGCATCATAAAATAAGTACGAGAATATTGAAAGATATTATCCAATTGTTGGAAATCCAACAAAAACAATCAATGTGTGTAACAGCATGTGTTTGATGTTTATCATTTATAAGCACTGCATCATTAAATATTTTCTTTTAGAGCTAAATCATCAATTTAGCCATGGAATCACCAGGGATTACTACGTTAACCATCCAAGCCAAATTGTATATTGTTAGATGACTACGAATGCTGGTTAGAATTGTTAGATATCATTCAATAAATTTTTCATGATATGATTGCATAAGCCCTCATGCGCTAAAGTCTAAACTCAAATCTTGGCCTAATTTGTAGCATCATATGGCTACTTTACTCCACAAGGAAAATGAACTGAACAGTTAATCTAGTAGCAATTGTGGTCAGTCACTGCGATCAGTGCCACCCACTGGCAGCCATCTTTGATTTCCAATCAAGCTACCTAGTCCCTCCTTCCAAAGTCGGCCCCTAATCAAGACCTTATCTCTCGAGTCACAGAACAGGTTTATAAGCAAAGTACTCTATCCATTCTGTCAAATAGATATTAGCATAATTATAATAAGTCTTGGTTGACATTTTTGAAGGCATATATCACAAAAATAATATAAATTCATCCTAAAGGAAAACTAGATTAATGATTGTGCCAAGGATAATCCTAATCCAAGACAATATCAGAAAAATAACCCCCATCATGTATCATTCATTCATTTTAAGTTAGAAGTTTAATATCCAAATGCAGAGAAGCTTCATAAATTCCCAAACTACTGCCTCCCTTCCCTTCCTAACCTTGGTCCTGCTCTCTCCATCCTTCTCTTTTGCTTGTGAAGCTCATTTATTATCAACAAGATAGTCAGGATTATATTATACGCGTCATACCTCATCAGGAGTGATAGGCACGTCATGATCTGCAGCCTTGGTTGTTGGCGTGATTATATTTTCAGACAGCCTTTGATTTTTGGCCAATCCTGTAATGTGTTACTAGGATATAAACTAAAAAGTACAACTTTAAAAAGAAACCCAAAACGCAAAGATTGAAAGAAAATCCACCATCTGGGAGAACATTGCCACAATATTCTCGGATGCCTTTATTGTAGACTGTCCATAGAGATGTATCAGTACTTCCAGTCACGTATCCTCTAACTGCAAAACAGCAACACTAATCTAAATCAACGGCCATTTGAACCCCCATCGCATTTCTCAGAACATTTAAATAATGAAAACATGTAAAACGAGATGAATAACAATAAAACATAAAGAAGCACAACATGCGTATCTCTAGCTCAAATACATTGTATCCATCACAAAACCGTGAACAGCAGATACTCGTATCTTTGTCCTGATCTTTTTCTAATATATCTGCATTGCTCTTCTAGAATAACAAAACCAGAGCAACTCTGTCAAAGCCTTTCAAAAGGTCATAATATGTGTAATGAGACTGTATGTAACAAAGAAAATACTGACCATTGTTTTGTTGCATAAAAGGTGAAAACAATTTCTTTCAGGATACTGAACTCCAAACCAAAGTTGGGCAAAAGTCAATCAAAGAAAATGAAACGGCATCAAGCAAGATGTTAAATAGACAAACGGCAAATCACTCACCAACAAATTCAACAGGGAACACCGAACATTTTCTTGCAATGGTAACATTTTTATCAGGAGCTGATACAACAGCATTGGAAGTTATGTGCTTAGTTTTCTCAAACCACCACAGGCTTGTCTCGTTAAGAACCTGACAAGTATAAGCCCAATAACTCAAATTCCTAAGTGACACCAAAGACTAGCTGGTTCTGATAATTATCTATCTACCAGCTAGAAATAAATTCCAACATTCTTTTTCAGTCACAAGCATTTCCATTCACTATCAATTAAGTAGCACTTCTCATGCAATATCTGGTTAGTATGAAAATAAATATCACATATCAAACCTGGCCTTTGAAAGGTATGGAAGCAAGAATCCTGTCAAATGCACTCTGCCGATCAGTCGTCACCAGAACAAGATAGTCTCCACTGTCATAAATATCTCTAACCTAGCAGCATATACCGAGCTATTTTAGAAGCGCCAGTAAAATATAGGGGAAACAACAAGGAAAAAGAACCAACTTTTTAGTTTTGCATCCCCTTTTTCAGGCTCTCCCAAAACTTCTCCGACCACAAAAGAAATTTGGATGGTAAAAAAGAGCAATAACTTCCCTTGCAAGATGCATTTTCAGCATTAGTTTACCTTGCCTCTAGTTTTGGACTTAAGACTAGGAATGGTCAGATGAAGGTTAGTTTCAGAGAGGCAGTTTGAGAGGGAGCTTTTGATGTCTCCAAGAACTTCTTCCTTGCGATTACTATTGAGGAGAGCTTCAGCCAAAGAGAAATGTTGTTGAGGTTCTTGTTGATGCTGGCTTCGCATTAGCGCCGAGACAGATAAAGTTAGAAACTTTGGTGGCTTCAAAGTGATTCGCGAGGAAGAAAATGAAGAGAGTGCATGAAGAGAAGGATTGATGGGAAGAAATTTAGGGCTGTGGGTTTTTGGAGGGTTTAACATCTGGGTAATGCGACCCATTGTTTATTGACGCACAGACGCGCTAGAATACAAATGCTTCTCACCCCCCTTCTCTATAACATCTAGATTACCTAAGCATCACTTTCTTGAGTATCTTTGTTCATCACCCTCAGCGCAGCCGTTCAAGTCATCGTAGACACCACAGAAGGCCACGTCATACACAGCCTCCCCCAATCTAGAGCCGGTAATACGGGCTGGGCTCGCGGGCCCAGCCCGCCAGCCGCCAAAAAAGACGGGCTTGGGTTGATGTTTTCCCAACCCGCACCGCTTTTGGCCCATTCCGCCGCGGGCTAGCCCGCCAGCCCGCTTTTTTTTTTTTTTTTTTTACTTTTTGATTTTTAATACGTTATATATATAGTTAGATGATTTTGACCATTAAATTTCATATGGACATTACCTCATCCATATCATTATATATATAATTAATTAAGCACTTCATATATATGTATGGTTTTTTTTTTTTGGTGAAGTCATATATATGTATGGTTATATGAAGAGCACTATCCATCTTTTATTTTTATATCTATTTGTCGTTAGTATGCACGGCTTCATAAGATTAGATAAATATGTGATTTTCATATAGTCATACATACACACACATAAAAGATTTACTTAATTAATTTGGATAAAAAAACTAGTTAAATTAATTATTTATAAAAAATATATATGTTAGTTTTTCTTAAATTTCTTCTAATATTATAAATTAATTCTCTTTTTTTTATTAGAATCCATTACTCAAGTTTAAAACTCGGAGCCTAATTTCAACATTTCAAATTAGGCTTAACTCATACTAATATAATAAATTTAAAAAAAAAAATTTAGGCTGGTTGGCGGGCTCGGGCTGGCAAAATGCCAGCCCGCCAAGGTGCGGGCTACTTCAGCCCGCACCACATTTGGCCCGCACCGCGGCGGGCTAGCCCGTATCCGCACTGCCAGCCCGCTTTCCCAGGTCTACCCCAATCATTAACAGAAACCAATTCAAGATCATATCGGAACCGTCCAAAACAAACAGAACCAATAGAGTAAGCTCGTTCAATGAAAGCAACGGGCAAAGCTTCCAACGATTGATAAAGCTCACTCACAGCAGAGCATCTCGTGCAATTGACGCAACATGCAAAGCTTCCCACAGATTGATAAGCTCACTTACAGGCAAAATCTTCAAAATGTAAGACCTGCAATTAATCCAAAAATACACGACATAGACTGATTAATCTCGCCCATAGGTAGAAAACGAAGCACCTCTTTCAAGATCGAAACAGGGAAGAAGGAGGGAAAATAGGAATCAAGAAGATGAAGGAGAATCGTGCAGGAAGAACACATGAAGGAGTTAAGAAGTCTATGCACCTGATCCGTAGAAGAGAGAAGCAAGAAGCCGACACCTGAACTCTACAGCTGCTCGCCGTCCGGCAGAGGTAATGGAACTTTGAACTCTTCTTCCAATTGCTATGATCGACACCTTCCAAGCCTGCGAGATCGAACTTTTAAAGACGGCTTGGAGGTGGAGAATGGTTTGTGATTCTGTGCTTCGGCGACGGCGGGGATGGTTCGGGCATTGAACAGGTTCTCGCCTTCCTCGCCGCCGTCCAGTTCCGTTGAATGGGCAATGGAGAGGAGAACGTTGCGTTTGACTTACGGCCCCCATTGGTTTTTTCTTTTGTTTTGTTTTTTTAAAATTTTTAGGAGAATTAGAGTCAAAGATATAAGGGAGATAGTATCTATTAAAAACAATTTTAAAAATTGCAATTATTTTGTACAAAATCCAACCCTACCTTTTATATGCCCCACATTTTATAAATTAATGTTATCTAATTAAATTTAGACTCAAAAGAGTATAATTATAATATTATATTAGTTTTAATATATATTTTGCCAACAATTAGTCAGTTCTAATATATATATATGCATATAAATTTATTGATAAATCTATCAATATAAAGAAAATATATATTAGAAGTAATATAATATTATTTTTCTACAAAATAAGCAATAAAATATTATAATTATTCTCTTTTAATCTTAAATTTAATTAGATAAAATTATTTTATAAAACACAGATGTAATTAGAGGGGGCGTCTAGAGTCTAGATAGGAATAATTTAATATTTTTGAATTTATATTTTGATACTTTTTATTAAATAATTGTAATTTTTAAGATTTCCTCTCATAAATATTGTTTCCTTTGCCCCATTTGCTCTAATGACGTTAATATCCTGTTAGCACTACATTTAGGAAAAATTCTTTGAGAAATTATTTTTTTGCCAATAAAAAAACTGATTACATCTATATATCTATCTATCTATATAACCTATAAATCTTGCAGCGGTTTTGTGATTAGTCTATGTGACAATCTTAGATGATGGTTTCTTTTCCATCTAATTGGTTGTTGATTGTTGACGTGGATGGTTATTAAATTGAGATGAAGTGGCTGGTTAAATCTGGAGGCCTTGAATCACTTGTGGAAGAATTCAATAAACTACATAATTACTTACACTCTTTTTAATATTTTTAAAGGTGAAGAGACTATGAAATATGAATTACTGTCTAGAGTGATGAAAATGAAAAGGCTTTAAATCATTTTGTGGAACAATTTAGATAACTCTGGAAATCATTAATTCATCCTCTTTTGGTCATCATGTCTCTCTCTTTTTAGTGCAGGAGATTCATCTTCTCTCTTATCTTAGGAAAAATCAATCATTTTCCCATTATAACCTTCGTATCTTGTAAAGTTGCATTCATCATTCTCATTTCCATTATATAAAGACCATTCCACCAACCTCATTTCCTCCTCACCGCATTCCAGTTCTCCACTTTGGTTTTCTCTGCACCAGTCTATTCGTTAATATGGTATTATATGTTTTCAATTTTCCCTCAATTTGATCTTCTCACTTCTAAGCATAATCATGTCCACAAAGCTTTCACCTCTTGATTTATCTTCATTTTTCTTAAAGGTTTGGAGATCGGTTCTCACCGGTGGCACCATCGTGATCACCATAGTCTACCTATGATCTACAGCTCTCAAAAATTCCTCAACTGAATAGTCATTGTGCAAGGAAGCTTACCATACCTCTTTTAAAGTTTTAAGTGCCAGGCCATAATTATGGTAAATGCATTGTCTCAGAAAGGGGCTGTCGGAGGTTTTCTTGTCACTAACACCTGAACGTTTGAATTTGCTGGTTGGTGGAGGTAGTGAGAAGATGGAATATGATTATTTATTAAATTTGCCGCAAGTATTTGCTACATTTATTGAAGAATATTTAACGCCCTCCATTTAATAAGATTTAATTTTTCCTCTTTTCCATTCACCTCATAAGGGATTCTGAGAGTTATGGTTTCTTTCAATTTTCTGGTGTGAATTAGGATTTAAAATTTCTAATCTAGAATTTTGATTCAGTGCTAATATTGAAGTAAATAATCAAGTATTTTAAGCCCCTTTTGTTAATTTATTAACTTCTCTTCTTCTTTTGTTTTTGTCCCAGGATAATGAAGAGATTATAATCAAACTTTACTCGAGAATGTTTGAAACTCCCAATGCAAAGTATAACTAATAAAGAGATTCATTCCATTAATTGAAATTTTTGATATATTCTAAATCTCAATTGCATATGTTGTCGTGCGTAAGTGTTATTTTCAGCATTGGGTCCTAAGTTTTCATTGAATTTACTAACTGTTGTGTATATGAGTGGGTGTGTCAAAAGTGAAGCCTCACATTGTCCAAGAGAGAGGGGCTCAAGTGTATAAATGCTATCATACACTATAGGGCTAGTGAATGGGCCTAGAGGAGAAGGAGGATCTCGCGCACATGATAACAGCCCACCGAAGGGAATGCAGTTGAAAACTGGTGATCCCCCCTTGCGTGAGTTAAGAAAGCACTGGGCACTTTTGCAAAAATAAATTATAAAATTGTGTTAAGAGAGCTTATGAGAAAATCTTCTTTTTGATTGTTTATTTTTTGAGTCAACTGGAAGTTAATGAATTTAGAAAATTTTATTCCTCATTAAATCGTGATTATCCTTCGTTAATCCTTAACCCATTTTCCCTGGATTAATGTTTGGTAACGTCTAAAATTTTTTGGCATCCACTCCTCCTCTGCATTTCTCTGCTCCTTCTCTCTTTCTGTAGCTGGGTTGTATTTTTTTCCTGCTGTTCTATCACCCTGTCTTTTGCAGGAAGGGTTAGTTTAATCCTGGGGAGTGCCGCATTCATACTTACTTACGATGGCAAAATAACTCTTAAGGACAGCGTCTACCGGGACGACTCAAACTAGACTATTATTTGTTTCTAGTTTTCTCTACAATCTTAAGAGTTACAATGAAGTCCCGTAATGATGCTACTGCTTGGAATACTAATCCTACTATCAACATTGCCCATGTTCTTGTCTTCACTGCAGTGCCACTTCCCAAGCCATTTCCGAATGTCTCCAAGATTGATGTGTTCAATGGGAAGCACTTCAGATGGTGGCAGGAACGAGTGTACACTGTCCTTGACATGCATGGAGTTGTTGTTGCTAAGAATGCTTGGGCAATTGCAAATAAGGTTTACTGACATACACTCATTAACACTTTATCTAATGATTTGTTTGATGTCTACTGTGTATACAAGGAGGCACATAAAATATGGGAGTCGCTGATCGTGAAATACACTGCTGAGGATGCTGGGAAGCAAAAGTTTGTGGTTGGAAACTTTTACGGATGGGAGATGGATGATGATAAGTATATAAAGTTTCAAATCAATGAATATGACAAGTTGCTTCGAGCTGAGAAGATAAATCTGCCAGATGAGTTCGTAGCTGGGTTCCTGATCGAGAAGCTGCCAGACTCATGGAATGATTACAAACAACAACTGAAGCACAAGCAGAAGCAACTGTCACTATCATACCTGATCACACATATCATCATCGAGGACACAAACCAGAAGGCAATCCAGACAGCTAAAGGAAAAAAGATGGCAACAAAGGCAAATATGGTAGAAGCAAAACCACATGACAAGAGGTATAACTCCAAACCTAGAAATAAAAACTTTGACTACAAGCCCAATAGTTCTAACCCAAAATTCAAGAAGAAAGGGAATTGCTTTGTTTGTGGAAAGTTAGGTCACCATGCAGCTCAGTGCAGGAAAAGAGCTGGTAAAAACACTAACTGTAAGGGTGGAAATCCTCCTAAGCCAAATGTGAATTTGGTTGAAGGAGATGATGATGAGATTGTTGCTATTGCCTCACAAGCCCCTGTGATCTCTGACGTGAGGAAGTAGGTGGTAGACTCAGGTGCTACTAGGCACATTTGTGCAAATAAGAACATGTTCACCTCCTTTGAAGAAGGAGAAGATCACATCTATCTGGTTGATTCTCGAACTACAAAAGTTTTGGGAAAAGGAAAAGTTGTCCTGAAACTCACGTCTGGAAAGACCTTAGCATTGAATGATGTTCTGTACATGCCTGATGTTAGAGCTAATCTGGTTTCTATAGCTTTGTTAGGGAAAGCTAGGATTAAGGTGTCATTCGAATCTGATAAGATCGTAATGACAAAGAATAATGTTCAATTTAGAAAGGGCTATTGTAATCAAGGATTGTTTGTACTGAACATAACCGAAATGAATGATAATGCATCTTCTGCTTACTTGCCTATGTTTTATATTGATTCTTTTGATGTGTGGCATGCTAAACTAGGACATTAAGTAAATCCTATATAAAAAGCTTTATCATCTAGGGCTAATATCAGGGATTAAAAATAATGTTCTTAATAAATATGAAGTGTGTGCAGAAACAAAACAAACTAAAAAGTCATACTTTCCTACTCAAAGAGAAACCGAGTTATTATCCTTAATACATACTGATCTAGGTGATTTGAAACAAACTGAGACTAGAGGTGGTAAAAAATATTATGTAACTTTTATCAATGATTTTTTAAGGTATGCAAAATTATATTTGTTAAGAAATAAAGACGAGGCTTTTGAAAAATTCCTTTCATACAAAGCTAAAGTAGAAAATCAATTAGACAGAAAAATTAAAAAGCTAGATCTGATAGAGGAGGAGAATTTTTACAATTAAATAAATTTTGTGAAAAAAAAAGGAATTATTCATGAAATAACTCCTCCATATTCACTAAAATCTAGTGGTGTTGTGGAAAGAAAAAATAGAACACTAAAAGAAATGATGAATGATTTACTTGTAAGCTCTGTTGCACTAGATAACCTTTAGGGGTGAAGCCATTTTGTCGACTTGTTTTTTACAAAATAGAATACCCCATAGGAAAACAAATAAAACTCCTTATGAATTACGGAAAAGCTTTGCACCTAGTCTTAACTATTTAAAAGTGTGGGGGTGTCTTGCAAAGGTTTTATTACCTAACCCTAAAAAAAGAAAAATAGGTTCTAAAACTGCTGATTGCTTATTTATCTGATATGCTCAGCAAAGTACCACTTATGGTTTGATGGTTTTAAGAAGTGATGTTTTTGGTCAAAATGCTATTATTGAAACTAAAGATGCAGAATTTTTTGAACATATTTTTTCTTTGAAAGCTGAGCGTATTCCTAAAATTCTTAAAAACTCGTCTAAGCAAAACTCAAATGAAAACATAGTAGAAAGTTTACGAAAAAGTAAAAGGCAAAGAAAAGAAACCTCCTTTGGGGATGACTTCTACACGTATTTAGTACAAGATGAACCTAGAAACTTTTATGAAGCGACATCTTCTCCAGACACATCCTTTTGGAAAGAAGCAATTCAAGCTGAAATTGATTCTTTAAAACAAAACAAAACTTGGGTTTTAGTTGAATTGCCTCTAGGAGCAAAACCAATTGGTTGCAAATGGATATTTAGGAAAAAATTTATTCCTGATGGTTCTATCAATAAGTATAAAGCGAGGCTGGTAGCCAAAGGTTTTACACAAAAAGAAAATATTGATTATTTTGATACTTTTCCTCCAGTGACAACAATTTCTTCTATAAGAATTCTCATTGCTTTAGTTTCAATTGATAAACTCTTTATCCATTAAATGGATGTTAAAACGGCTTTTCTAAATGATGATTTAGAAGAAGAGATTTACATGGTACAACCAGAAGGATGCATTGTTCCTACGCAAGAAAACAAAGTCTGTAAACTTGTGAAATCTTTATATGGTCTGAAACAAGCACCTAAACAGTGGCATGAAAAATTAGATCAAATCTTAACTAATGGTGGTTTCTTTACTATTAAAGTAGGAAGGTGTGTTTATATCAAACTTATGAACAATGACTGTGTGATTATCTGTTTGTATGTGGATGACATGCTAATCTTTGGTACTTATCTAGATGTTGTATTTGAGACTAAGCGTTTCCTTTATTCTAATTTTGATATGAAAGATATAGGTAAAGCAAAAATTATTTTGGGTGTCAAGATAACAAGAAATGAAAATGGCATTTTAGTATCTCAAGAGCACTATGTTGAAAAAATTCTTAGAAAATTTGGATGTGATGATGATTCGTTCAGTACTCCTTATGATTCTAATGTGAATTTGTTTAAAAATAAAGGAGAACCAGTTGCTCAATCTAAATATGCATAGATTATTAGGAGTCTGTTGCATTTAGTGAACTTCACCAGGGTAGACATAGCATGTGCTGTGTGCAGATTGAGCAGGTATGCTCACTGTCCAAGCAGTGAACACTGGATGGCTTTAGTAAGAGTATTGAGATACCATAAGTTATGGTATTCTCTATAGTGGATTTCCTACTGTATTAGAAGGATACAGTGATGCTAACTAGATCTCAAATTTAGAGGAGACCAAATCCACTAGTGGTTATATATTCACTCTTTGCGATGGTGCCATATCGTGGAGGTTAGCCAAACAAACTATTCTAACTAAATCCTCGAGGGATTCAAAGTTAATTGCTATGGAGTTGGCTGGTATAGAAGCTGAGTAGTTGAAAAACTTCTTGGCTAATACCCTATTAAGAGAAAAACCACCACCATCAGTGTCCTTGCATTGCGATAACCAAGTCGTAATAGCTACAGTGAAAAACAAAAACTTCAATGGTAAAAGCAAACACATACGTTTGAGAAATAATATTCTAAGGCAGCTGCTCAAAGATAGAGTAGTCTCAATCGATTTTGTGAGATCAGAAGTGAATTTGGTGGATCCATTTGTGAAACCCCTGGGGGAAGAAACAGATTATCGAAACATCAAGGGGAATGGGACTTAAGCCAACATGAAATCAACAATGATAGAAACCCAACCTTTATGATTGGAGACCCCATGAAGAAGGTTCAAATGGGAAAAACAAGTTATATGTTAGTTCTGCTAGTACTATTGTAAATTCATAGTCCCTTCATATAATGTGAGAAAGTGCTAGAATGCATTTATTAGTGAGGCTGAGTGAAAACTCTTAATGATTTCATAATCCTACGAGATGGTGTGCTCATTATAGGTACACTTGATGAAATCACCTCTATGAATGTGGAGTGGGGTAGCTCCCATGAGATCGTAGCAAAATCTCTAGAGCATTCGTTAAGAACTAGGCACTCGCATGGCTATTATAACACGCAAAACCATTGTAAACAGTGGAAATTGTGAGTGTATAATCTGACTCCTAATACTTCTAGTGCACACCAAGAGTTGTTGGTTCATAGAAGCAGGCTTCACTGACATCTCTATGTGCTAAGTATTATTGGTCTAGGTCTGGTTCATAGTCCGAAAGACACTAGACTTGAAACGGCTATATCCATGTGTAACTCAGCTATATGTGTTCCCTTTTGACACGTGGGGGATTGTTGTGTATATGAGTAGGTGTGTCAAAAGTGAAGTCCCACATTGCCCAAGAGAGAGGGACCTCAAGTGTATAAATGCTATCATACATTATTGGGCTAGTGAATGGGCCTAGAGGAGAAGGAAGATCTCACGCGCACAACAACGACCCATCGGAGGGAAACACAGTTGAAAACTGGCGATTCCCCCTTGCGCATGAATTAAAACAGCACTGGGTACCTTTTACAAAACACTTTTGCAAAAATAAATTATAAAATTATGTTAAGAGAGCTTATAAGAAAATCCTCTTTTTGACTGTTTATTTTTTAAGTTAGCCGGAAGTTACTAAATGTTAGAAAATTTTATTCGTCATTAAACTGTGATTATCCTTCATTAATCCTTAAGCCATTTTCCATGGATTAATGTTTGGTAACATGTTAAATTTATTTTTTAAATATACCTAACGCTCATAATTGACAGTATAATTATAGTTTATTGTAGAAACGTATGAAACTGACGGTTTAATTGTGTTTATGGTCATTAGTGCGGTGCCTAACAGTCAGATCCTCTGAGGCCTATATAAAGCAGTTCGAGACAGTGTGTTGAGCACTCCTCCCTTGAGCTTTCGGGCATCCATTCCTCCTCTGCATTTCTTTGCTCCTTCTCTCTTTTTGTAGTTGGGTTATATTTTTTTTCTGCTGTTTTGTCACCCTGTCTTCTGCAGGAATAGTTTGTTTAATCCAGGAGAGTGTTGCATTCATACTTACCCACGGTGGCGAAATAACTCTTAAGGACAGTGTCTACTGACACGACTCAAACCAGACTGTTATTTGTTTCCAGTTTTCTCTATACTAACTACTACTATAGGATTGTTCAGGATGTTGGTTGGATTAGGTGTATGTATATCCGTTTTGATGAAGTTCTGCAACAAACAGCTTCGGTTTCCCTCTACATGGCTGCGAGTTGTTTACTTATTTACAAGTAGATTTTAGCCAAGACTTTAGTATGAAGAAAGAGGTATGTTTAGTTTGTCACAGATTTTGTATTGGCAAAATTTTTATTTGTAACATACTATTTTTTTAAAAAAATTGTAATTAATATATATAATAATATTTTATTTTTTAAAAAAAAAAAGAAAAGAAGAAGAAACAACTTTCCACTAAATTTGGTGGAAAGTTGTGGCTTTTGACTTAGGAATAGAATTTAGGGGAGAGGGTCGTAAATGAGGTTGGAAAAAAATGGAGTGGATGTATTAAATGAAAGAAGAATGTTGGGGGAGGAGTAGTGATAGAGTTGAAAAACTTGGAATGTAATAAATAAAAGGAGAATTTGGGGAGTAGTAGTAAATGATAGAAGAAAAAGAAAGGGGGAAGATACGGTTGGAAGTGGAAATTGGGAGGAGGGCGGTGGAAAATTAAATGTGGGAGTATTATATACATCCTCATCCCGGTTATTTCTTGCAAGCCAGAAGAAGAGAGACGAAAGAGGAAGAGAGAGCAAAAGAAGAGAAAAGAGAGTGAGAAGCGGAGAGGAGAAAAGAGAGAGAGAGCTGAGTTGTAGAGTACCTGACAGTTTTGGGGATTATTTAGGTACACAAAACTACTTCTTTTTGTCAAATTTCCTTTATGAGTATTTCCTATGTGTTTAGAGCTTTATATTATTAGTATCATTATAATATTTAGAGAAAATTTTACTGTTTGGGTATAGAGTAAATATGGAGTTTTGACAGCGTATGACCGTAGAAATTTAAAGATACATTATTAAGAAATTTTAATCGGTTCATATTTACTCAATGACTGTTTTGAGAATTTTAAATTAAGATTTTAGTTGCAAAATTTGTTATTTGAAGATATAGAATATTTTTACCGATTAAATTCAAGTTAAATAATTTATTTGAGTTATTTAATATATTATTGAGGTTTTAATCGGTTTAAATATTAAATAAGTTAAAGATATATTTTTGAAGGCTTGAAAAATTGTAAATTGAGAATTTTGTCAAATTAGATAAAGCTACAGTTTGTTTATAATTTAAAAAGAAGTTGTTTGGTTTGACGAAAAATTTTAAAGGAGACTATAATAAATAATTCAGAATTTTAATATAAAATATTTAGATTTTGGGTAATAAAAATATATTTACTTAAGTTGTTAAACTTAAATAGCCTTATATGTAAATTATATTTTTCAAAATAATATTATATCTATTATAAATGCCTAGATTTGGGAGAGTTAATATATTTATGTAATTTTGGTTTAGAGGGTAGTCTTAGAATTTTAAAGTAGTTTTGGAGTAGTTCTGAGTTTATATTAATAAATATTTATGTGCAATTTTATAGACTCTTGAGAATTTTGGAGTAATTTTTGTATGAATATTTGTAAGCTAAAGAGTTCCAAGTAACTCTAAAAATTCCTTCTTGTACATGTGAATTGTGTATGATTATATTGTGGATTTACTAATCATTATATTACTGAAATATAATATTATGATTTTTTGTAAAATAAATATTTTGGTACCTTACCTGATTTTATTAAGATTTGTTGCTAGTAATTATGATCAATATTTAAATATATTAATAGCTATGAAATTATCATGAGTTACTGTTAAATGGTATATGAATTTTATTACTATCTTATTTTTAATAATATATTTGAGAATATATTTATGAAGTACTATTATTTGCATATGAAATGCATTGTTTGGTTAAGGATAAAAGGAGATTGCATGGATATAAAATTACGACGTGGTATGCCATCACTCGGTGCACAGTGGATGGCACTTGTCAGGGCCCCTTCTTCCATGTTTTCCTTTGGTCAGGAATTCATTGGAGCTGTGGGACATGTGACACCTCCCTATTCACAAAGGAGGGGAGCCATAGTCCGAGCTTGAGCTCTATATCTTTGGCCGGATATATCTCTAGTATCGGTGAGCTTGGAATAATTCAGTAAAATGGATTAGTTCCTATCGGACCATGTGTTAACCTATGGCTTCGGTCAGCAATATAAGGATGGACGGTGATATAAGGGAAGCGGCATATTGCATTATTTTTGGATATATTAGAAAAATGATATTGGTATATTGTTTTAAAAAAATGAAATTGAATTAAATGTATCAAATCCATGATTTTTAATATATGTATATACACATATAAACAGATTTTTGGTTTATCATATATGGTTTGCTTGTATAGGTTAGAATTTCAGTAGTTACTGAGACGTTTGATCTCACCCCCTATATTAACAATTTTTAGACGAAAGATCTAGTAGAAATCAAAGGAAGGCACCAATAGAGTGAGCCGTGAAGGCTTTTGTGCTCCTCAAGCACATGCTATGTTATACTTATATTTGCCATGACTATAAGATTTTAATAGTTTTTTTGTTGTTATGTCAGAAATATTTTGGAATTATAACTTGTCCAAAGTGTTAGAAATACATATGGACTTTTAAATGAAATATTTATCGCATATATGGATATAATTATGTGAGGTGTTACATTATTTTTCTAAAATTCAGCTTTTTTCTAATTTTCAATGGTGCTAAGTGTGTCAATTCTCTTTCTCTTGTCACGGCTGGCACAACAAAATTTTTTCCCCAAGAGCACAGCAAAAGCAACATGGTTTGGGAATATATAAGTTATGCTCTTTGCTTAATGAAACGGTGAGCACTGGGAGATTAGGCATCAGTGCTCATCTCCCGCTGAGCAGGAAAACGCATTCCTCCATCCATGTCATTCCATCATTCTTCATGCATGCATCTATTTTAATTGTTTTCTTTTCATTTATTTTGGCCGTTTCGTTTCCCTTTGTTTTCAGAGAGTGCTTATCTCGATGCTCCTATATAGATTTTGGGTACTATAAATGCACAGGTCTGGGTCTGCCTTTTTGTGATTGTTCTTCTAGTGTTTGTGGGGGCTTTCTTTCCTTCCTATTGTGGGAATATCTGTAAGTGTAGTGTGTGTGCATTTTCTCTTTTCGTTGGTTGATTTTTGGTGTTGACTGTTTTCTTTCTTCTTTGCTCTGGGGAGTGAAGTGGAAGAATGCATCTCTCTTTTGAGATTTATTTTGGTTTGGTTTGGTTGCGTGGTCAGTAGGTTAGGTGTTTCAATTTTATTCTCAATCGCAATCAGGTAAAGGGCTTTTTCATTCTTTGAGTTGATTGTTTTCCCTTTGTTTTTATTAATAATTATCATGGTGCAATAATTATTAGTTTTTCTTCCCAAAAATAAAAGAAAGATAGTGACTACTCGAGCTTTTCAATGATCAAAGTTCAGTTTTTAAATTATTAAATTACTCAATCAAGAAATTTATTCATTTATTAAATATATTAGCTTTGCTTTCCATGATTTTTTTTTTTTGCCAGTAACGAAATGGAACGACGAGGGGTGAAAGCTTGTGCAATTATCAAGGTCTTTGCATTATTTCATTATTTCACTATTTCACAAAGTTAAAGTTATCTATGGTCTGTTCATTTTTGAAGATATTAAAAGGCATGCAAGCTGTGTATTATATAGTTAATTTTCTGAATTATTATTTCATAAACTAATTCAAGGTCTCTTCGTTTTCATAATCCTAAAAAGTAATTTATGTCCTCTTTGTTTTTCAAGATTTGTTTTTACCGGAGTTTTTCAAGTTATTGAAGAGGGTATAAGTCTTTATAATAATATAGTTTTCTAAATTAGTCCATCAAGTGATTTGGAGTATCTTGGTTTTATTGTTCTGGAAAGTGATTTACAGTTACTTCATTTTTCAAGATAGATTTTTTTTGAGATGACAACTTTTGGATTTTAAAAATAAATGTTAGTCCCTATATCCTTTTTTTTTATAAGAAATAATTTCTCTATAATATTGTCTTTTTTTTTTTTTTTTGATACAAGGAGACCCTGTTTCTAGGGTCTTGAGCCTGTCGACACTCCAATTCCTTCTGCGTCTTCCTGCAAGATTCTCAGTATGCCACTTGGTGGGGCTTCCCACATGCTCCAATGTTGTGGACTGGATAGACTCATCTTTGCCATCATGTCAGCACAGAGATTTCCTTCCCGATAAGTATGACTAAATTCAAGTTGTCATTCTCTCCTTATTAGCTCTTGCAGAATGTTGGTTAAAGAGTTGTCTCCTTCTATTCCTCCTTTCTCTCTGATTTGGTTGATGATCTCCTTGGCATCAGTCTCAACCTGGACCTTCCTAAATCCCAAGTTCCAACAAAGCTTAAGTCCCTCTATGATTCCCCACACTTCTGCCGTCGTTGCGTCCTATGCTTCTAGACCGCATGAAAAACCTCCTAGCCATTCCCCATCGCTTCCTCTTATAAGTCCTCCATCCCCCGTTCTTCCTTTCCTCGTTCCTGCTCCATCTGAATTGAGTTTGCACCATCCATTATGCGGTTGTGTCCATCTTATTAGCGTTTGCGCGTGCCTGTCCCCCTCACATAAACTTTTGTTTTGTCTTGTCCTATAAGATTCCAGATACTCTGCAATATATTTCTTGGCATTTCTGGGCATTTCCCACTCTGGTTCGTGTAGATATCTATTTCTCCATTTCCATATGTGCCAAGCTGTCGTTGCAAACAGCTCCGGCCATGCGCTTTCTTCTTCTGTCTTTCCTTTGTAGTTGAGGTTTCCCATTAGCCATTGATTGCAATCCGTAATATCTAACCAAGTCCTGCAACACCACGGTGTTAGTTTCTTCCAAATTATTTTAGCGCGCGGACAGTCCCTGAGCGCATGTAGTATATCTTCCGTTGCATTTTGGCAAATCTGACACTGGTTTGATCCGTCATCCCATTTACTCATCAAGCTTCTTGTCAAAATTCGTTCATGTTTTATTCTCCACATGAAAACTCTTATTCTTTCCGGCACCTTAAGCTTCCATATTTTCTTCCAGTTGCCTTCGACTTGCATCCTCGAGCTATTGCTTAATTCCCCATAGGTACTTGCCGTGGAGAATATTCTGTTCTCGTTCAGCTTCCATCGTAACTTTACTCCCTCATTTGTATTTTCTATAACCACGTTGGCTTTAAATGTGTCCTGGAGTTTGACAAGCTCCTTCTACAGTCTTGAGTCCCCTGTCAGCACTGTAATTTGGTCTCCTGTTTCACTTTGTCGCTGGTATTTTCCCATTAAAACTTGGACCCAGAGCTCATCTGGTTTGCACTTCATTCTCCATAATAATTTCAGCAGCAGCGCATCATTCATTAAATTCAGGGATTTGATTCCAACTCCGCCCTTGTCTTTGGGATTGCATAAGGTGGTCCAAGCTATTGCGTGCCAATTTTTCTTCCCTTCTGTATCTCCCCAGATGAAATTTCTTTGTATTCTCTCAATTTCCTCGGTCACCCCTTTTGGTAATCTATCATGCTGTATGGTGTAGAGGGCCATTGTATTGGTAACCGAGTTAACCAGCGTAATTCGCCCCGCTAAGGATAAACTCTCCGCCTTCCATCTATTCAGCTTGCCTTTAACTCTTTCCACCACTTTGGTATATCTTGTTCTTCGGTTTCTGGGGAACGATATTTCTGCTCCCAGGTAACGTCCCAGATCTTCAACCTGTCTAAAACCACTTCTCCTGCAATATCTCTTCGCAAGTGATTAGGAACGTTCGGAAAGAAGAAGATCTGTGTTTTTTCACTGCTTACCCTGTGACCTGAAATTAAGCCAAAATCTTGCAAACAATCTAAAATGACATCAATTTGGTTAGTTGTTGCTTTAGCAAATAGCACTAAGTCATTGACGAACATCATATGGGAAATATTGGGTCCTGAACAGCCAACACTCATGCCTCTCCATTTTCTCTCTTTCACTTTGTCTAGAATGAGGTGTGTGAGCTTTTCCATTCCAATGACAAAGAGGTATGGGGAGATTGGATCCCCTTGCCTTAGGCCTCTAGCGGGATTGAATTTTTCCATCTTTTCACCATGCCATAGGACCTGAGTTTTCGTAGTTGTAATGCACCCCAAGATCCTCTTAATCGTTTCTTCTGGAGCTTTTAATTCCTTCAGTACATTCTCCATGATATAATATTGTCTTTAAATACACAAATACAAGTTTGAAAATTTAAACCGGTCTCTCTAGTTTTACCCTCTCTACTTTTACGCAGTTAAATATGCTACTTATTATTTTTTCGTATTAAATTTTTACTCATTATTTTTCATGTACTCTCTTTGCAAATTAGGATATGATCAAAATATATATATCTTGCACATTTATTGCTTTTAATTAAATTTAACTAACATTTTAAACTGCATGGTTTTAATAATTATTTTTTATAATAAGTGACAAATGAAGTAAATGATAATGAGAAATAAACATACTGCAAAGATTGAGACTATGTGGGGCTTGTAGATGGGAGATTAGACTAGGCTTATTATTAGGAAGGTTTGAACTTCATCGTTTTTTTACTGAAATTTAATTGGCATCAAGAATAAATTTACTAAGCATGGTCACCAAAAGAAAGACAACCAAAAAACTAAAGAACAAACTATTCCCAAATTAGCATTTTGATAGGAATAGTGAAATCAAGTCTTGAATTAACATGTAGGGAAGGGGATTTTATAATATAAACTAATTAAGTAAATATAGAAAGAAGATCAATCTCGATGACCTTCTTAAATTTGAATTTTTAATTTCAAATAAAAAGACTCTTGAGATTTGCATAAAGATGATGTATAAATATTACAAATTAATAATTGCATTTTAATTTAGGATTTAAACATGCCCCTCAAAGTTTGCAGATATAACAAAATCAGACTATACATATATTTAAATTAAAATAATCATTAAATTGTAATATTTATATATAAAAATCGCTCTACATTGTAAATTTAATAATCTCAAATCAAGCCTTGAACTAGAGCTGGGAATCAGGGCCGGCCCTTCAGGGCTGGCGGGCTTAAAAGGGCCGGCCCTCCAGGGCTGAAATTTTAAAACTACCTCAATTTGCTAAGCCTGGCCCTTAAGCTACAGGGCTAGGGCCGGCCCGCGGGCTTTTAGCCCGTTTAAGAAAAAATACTATTTTTTATATTTATCATATTTTTTTTATAAAAATATAAAAATAAACCAATGAAATTATTAATAAAAGACATAAATATAAATAAAATTAAGTTACAAATATAAAATATCATCATATATAAATATTCATAACATCTAAAACATTCATTAACAAGATAACAACATCTAAAAGTTTTATCTATAATGCAATTGTGCAATAAATAAACATTATCATTAATCTTTTGAAACTTCATCATCACTATAATTAATTATTTTTCTTCATAAGTATGCTTCTCTTTCGTAACAAAATATCAATTTTTTCTTCTTTATAAGAATTTTATTTTTAAATTTTGCAATCTAACTATTATTTTACTTTAATGTGAGAAACATTGTTGTTGAAACTCATGAATTTCTAATTCAAATTATAGAATCACAAGTTATATAAGTATAAAAATATTCTATTATCAAATATATATATATATATAGTTTAAAAGTATTAACGCATATAATATAAATCAAATCATTATTAAAGTCCAAATTAACCCATTTTTTAAAAATTTAATTGGATAAATTATTGTCTAAAACTAAATTTAATTTTAAAATGATAATAATAACAAAATATTTGAAATATTATTAACAATGTAAAAAATTAATAACATTAATATTATATAAAAAAATTATAAAAGGGCCGGCCCGCGGCCCTCCAAGGCCGGCCCTTTTAAGCCCTCGGCCCTCCAGGGCTTATTTCTCATTTTAAGAGAAAAATATCAAGCCCATCCCTCATAATTTCAGGGCCTAAACGGGCTCGGCCCGTTTTCTCAGCTCTAGAACTCCCCAAGACAACATTAATTATCACTATTTGGTTTTTAAGAGTAGATTAATAGGTAAACAAATAAAAAATATATTGATTCTGTTATGAATAAAGAAGAAATAGAGTATTTCTCATTCCATTCAAGAGTACTCAATACATTATACATGGCCCCTATTTATAGGCACAGCTTTACACCTTTGACAGAATCTACAAATTACATAATAATAGGAGATAATTGTGGGATATAGAGATAATGGGAGATATTAGAGATTATAGGAAATATAGGAGATAATGGGAGATATATGGACATCCACAAAGATATTATTATATTCATAACACTCCCCCTTGGATGTCCAATATATATGAATGTGCCTCGTAAAAAAACTTCAACTAGGAAAAACCCTGTGAGATAAAAACCTAGGGAAAGAAAAAGAGTACATCATTCATTGATACACTATGCAATACTGCCTTATGAAAACCTTGCTAGGAAAACCTAGTGGGACAAAACCATAGACAAGGAAAAAAGAGTACAACGTGTATCAACTCCCCCTTTTGGCAACATCAGTTGACATCTTAGAGCCTGTAAAGTCTAATATAACGAACAACCCTTCCAAATATTGTAATGGGATAAAAACGTCAAATATGAATTTCATAATCTTCTGAAAATTATGAGACAAAATAGTCCTTTTATGGTTTACCCACACGTAGATTATACTATGATCTCTTGATATGAGGATTAAACAAAAATACTTTATCTATATAGCCATTAAGATTAGTCTTGGGTACCTTCAAATAAAATAATATTACCTCCATGGCACCCTTAAAGTAAAGAAGAATATTTTTAATTCCATTCCAACATCTTCATGTTGATAAAAAAAACTATATCATGCTAATCGGCAAACGATATTTCAGATTTTGTATGGCTAGATATATAAATACTTCAGTGATACTAAGATATGGTACTTCTGGATCAAGTGTTTATTTATTACGTTCTGAAGGTCTAAATTGATTTTAATCTATATCTAAAGATCTTGCAACTAATGAAACATATAATAGATGTTGCTCATCCACATAATAGATGTGATTTATCTATATGTATTCTTCTGAAAGGTTTCATTTCAAATTTTTTTCTTTAAGTAATTCACAACTATTGAAAACTCATCAGGAGTTCTGATATTATCATTATAAATAGTACTGATAACATACTCATTTTGAATCTTTTCACAAACAGACAAGTTGGAATAAGTTTACATCATTCCTTCAGTTGATATTAACCACATATATCTCATATAGAGACTTACTTCAATGGTGTTCTTGAGAACATAATTGTATGCTTCTAGAAATTTAAATGATTAAATCCTTAAAGGAATTTCATACATATGATCTATATCTATTCATGTATTGGATCGTTTATATTTATACAAGGATTTGAATCCTTCTGGGATTCACATATAATTTCACTACATAGTAAGTAACTGTATTTTCTAGACGCATATGAGATATTTTTATAAATTATCAAATTGCCAGATTGATAAGATACATAAAAATTTTAATTCACCACAAGATTGTATTTCTCTTTTCTTGTACAAATGCCTATTATACTTCAGGTGCTTGGGTTAGAAATACACAAATCTCCTGTTATAATGTTGTGTCTTTTCTTTTCTGTTGGTCAACTATTTTTCTGCCTGTATCTCATAACAGATTTATATATAAGATCCTCACTTGATCATGTGATATCATCAATCAAATTATTGTCGACAATTTTATTCCTTTATCAGTCCTATTTTCTTTTATGACATAATATATCGAGATCTCTTTATTGTTTTCAAACACTTAAACCTCTTCAGGGGTCAAAGAGTTATGTCTTAACTTCTTTTGCAATTCATGCCTCCTTAGTATGATCATCATGATCATTTGCTCCTTTTTCTTTTCTTTTGGAACCGATCATAATCTCATACTTTTAGCATGTCTTCAAGAATGGGAGCATTTTTAGCTGGAATATAAGAATTAAAAATTCTCATTTGGGTCAGTAATTGCATTTGGCAAACATTAGTAATGTTTTATAAATGCAATACTTTATGAACTTCTAGTTCATACTACTATATTTGAGGATCTACATTTGATAGTGAAAGTGAATTCTATGTGCTCTCTTTTCCAGCTATACATTTTCTCCCCCTTATATTGGAAATATGCAATGTAGGTCTCCCGAATCCATAAATCTCCTTCAGAAACAGTATTTTGTTTCATTTAGAGACAAACAAGAATAAGGAGGTTCTTATCCAACATTGATCCCAACTTACTTTTAATATCTATCTATGTGCATTATTACGATGGAATAATAAATATTGCACATTCTAAGATGAAAAATGTCTGGCTCCTGATCAAAAGCCAATTATAATAGGAGAATTCACAATACATTGTTGGCTTGATGTATTTATGTGCAAAAATATATAAAATCAATCATTCGAATACTCAAATAGGAATTCTGTTCTCATAAACTCTGATCTAGCTACTTATGGAGGCTTTTACTAAGCATATAATCATTAGCAACGTGAGGAACAATCACTAGCAATCTCAACAAGAATCATATTGATTTCATAATCAAGAACTTATGTACTTAATGTAATTATCTGAACATATTTGCAAACTTCAGGTTGCAAGTTGATCATAAATACTTGTGACCATTTTATAGATGCATCTTTTACTTATAGAATATTACTTTGGTCCACATGGTGTCTAAATGGGCCCATATATAAAGTTGATACATTATAAATCTGTACGATCCGATTTTGAGCATAGCTAGTGATGTTCTCTTTGAGTACAAACAACACATAAAAATTCTTGAATCATATATCATTTTTAAAGAATCTTCCGGTTCTTTAATAAATGACAATACACATTTTTCATGATATTTTGCATCATTATAATCCGGGATAATCTAACCGGTCATGCCAAACTATGAATGCATAAACTTCTGGTTTATTGTAAAATTATTCTCAATTATTAGTAAACTTCTTG